AAAAAAAAAAAAAAAGAAAGAAAGAAAGAAAGAAAGAAAGAAAGAAAAAAAGAAAGAAAGAAAGAAAGAGAAAGAAAGAAAGAAAGAAAGAGAAAGAAAGAAAGAAAGAAATGGGGGCTAATACTAGCACTTCCTCTGCGGGTGGTTAGGTAGATCCAGTGCGCTAATGTGCATGGTTGTGTGGCGTATACGGATTGGTGGTTATTTCTCACAGAATGTCGGAGCTGGGGCGGACCCCAGAGCTCAAGTCTAACCTTCTGTTTCCCTGAATAAGGATGCACATTGCCAAAGGTCTTCATAGGGGCCATGCGGGAGCAGCAGCCACCTGGCTTCCAGGGCCTGGCTCCTTCAGCTTGGTCACTAAGAACAGCCGATAGGGACCCACACCCAGCCAGCTCCAGCAGCACCAAGCACCTCAAAGATGCCAGGGAATACCTGAGTTTGGCTTCTGGATATATAAGGCATGCATGTGCAGAGAAATCCGGAAATGTCCACTCCACTTGCTGGGGACTCCCTAGTACCTCCACGATTTGAAAGCGGATCTCATGTGACCCCTGAGGCCCTGACACAGTGGGCATCAGCCCACGTGAGCCACTCACTGTGAGGCTAAGGGGAGGCTCCACAGTTGGCTCCCACCCCCAAATGTTGGGGTTCCCAGGCCCCTGGAAGGCTCTCCTCATGGGTCTATTCATATCATCTGCAGTCCCCTTTCCGATTTCAGCTAGGAGCCATTACTCTGGACTGGCCCTGACAGCCCAGAGGAGTAAGGCGTTCCCGTCCCTCTCGGTTCGGCTGAGCCCACCGGCCACCTGCCTGAGCACACACATCTGGGGGTGCATCACCCTGTCGGTCTGCTGGGCCGAGCCGGATGGGGTCCCCTGCCCACCCTGCCACTTCCAAGCAGCGTGCTGGCCTCACTCCCCCTAGGGGTCTGCTTCCTTCACCCCAAGGGCATGTTGTGGGTACTTCTCAGGAGGCCCCAGGGTGGTGCCCACACCACAAGCATGATCCCACGCTGGAAGACAGCTGAACTCCAGGACCTCATGGCCTTGGCGCTTCCCCTCGGGGCCAGCTGCAGCTGTGACGTTTATGGTGCGTGCAGCTGGGCTCGGGGGCGGCGCTGGCAACGTGTGGAGGTGCAGAGTGGGCACCATCTGGCAGGAGGTGGTGTGCCGCAGCGCCCCGGTAAGCACACTGGAGGGGGGACAGCTGGAAACAGCTGGAGTCCTTATGGCAGGAGAGACAGGCCGAGGAGAGGGAGTGAAGCAGAGGTCGGCAGGCAGTGGGGGCCCCAGAAGGCTGGACCCAGCCCGCTGTGGCCGTGAAAGATCTGGGGACTCTGTGGTGAGGCCTGGGGCCTGGCAGAGCCAAGGAGCTGAGAGGCGTTCACAGAACCAGCGCTGGAGGGGCACGCGGTTGGGCATCAGGGTGCCGTGTAGCTGCACGGAGACAGGTGCCTGGTGCTGACTACAGCCAGGTGGACGGAGGGCGGATGCATGCCAGCTAGGGGAAGCCGGGATGTCGTGTAGAGGGGGGTCAGCTGGCAGCAGGCAGGGCTGGTCAGGACACAGCTACTACCACGCTGTGCAGAGTCCACATGCCAGAGGTGTAGACGAGGGGGCTGGGCACAGCATCCCGCCCTCACCTTGGTCTCAGTCAAGCGAGTGTGAGCTCCAGTGGGCCCATGTGATGACGTCAGCCATGTTCCGGGGAAGATGGCCACAGCGCAGTGCCCTGGGAGTTCTCTCTGCTCGTTGTCCCGACCAGAACCTGGGGTGGGCTGGGTGTGAGTGTGCAAAGGGGCAGGCTCGGGAGAGCAGGTGTGCAACCCGTCCCACTGTCAAGGCCGGGTCACAGCATGAAAGGCAAGCGAGGAATCCTGGGGCCCCAGCTCCAAAGAAGGAACAATGGCACCTCTCACCCAGGCTGGGCACTGAGGATGGATGAGGATCGGCTAGGGCAGGCTCGGCACAACTGAGGGCCCAAGGCAGGCAGGTGGGCTTCAGTGGTGGGCCCTCGGGCTCTCAGCAGAGGTGTGCAGGGGGAAGGGGAAAGGGGTCCCGCTGCGGTGGTGCCAGAGCCACGGGGAAGATCAGGATCTGGTTCCTAAGTTGACCTGTTCCCAAGATGCCTGGTTTGAGCACACACACCCGTGATCCAGGTTGGCTGGGAAAATGAGGGGAGGGTCGTAGCAAGAGACCCTGCTGAGGGAGCTTGGTTTTCTCTCATAAAGAAGAAGTAATGGCTGTGGTGCTGGCCTCCCACGTAGTCAATTGCCATTTGAGTCCCGGACCTGGTGGCTTAAACTCACGCCGGGCGCATGTGCGTGCATACGCAAGATCCCAAGAGGAGAACGGAAGAGAAGGGATGGTGGCATGGCCATCCCCCCTGGGGAATGATTTCCTGCTTTCTGTCTCTGTCTCTCTCTGTCTGTCTGGTGAGCACATGCACCCTATAGCAAAAACTTCTCTTTAAAAAAAATAATAAATAAGGAATAGAGCCAGTTAGCTGGCCTGGTGGTTAAGGCAGCAAGATCCCATATGGCTGACTGGGTGGTTCGAGTCCCAAGCCCAGTGGCTTGAAAAACACACTGGATGCATGTGCATGCATGCCAAAAGTCCTGAAAGGACAATGGAGGAGAAGGGACTGTGGCAAGGCCATCCACCCTGAGGGGCTGATTTCTCACTTTCCCTCTCTCTGGCGAGCACATGCACCTTGTAGCAAATTTTAAGAAAAGAAGAAGAAGAAGTAAATAAGTCAACTTGAAAAAATCAATTATGAACATTAAAAAAAAGGGGGGGAGCTAGTGTTTGGTGGGTGGGCCGGGAGGAAGGAGAAAACTGGAGTGTTGTAGGGAGACACACCAGACGCCCATAGGGGGAGATAAGGCTAGACTGCAGAGGAGCTGAGCCCTAGCCCCAAGTCACGTGGCAGGCTGAGGCCACCACATGCAGAGGTTGCCTGGGAAGCCCTGAGGGTGTCCGGCCCCTCAGGAGACGGCTGGCTGTACACGGGGCTCGGCTGCAGGTGCCACGCCTGAGAGCAGAGCGGCCGCGGCTCCTCGTGGGAGTGAAGTGAGCACATGTGGGGTAACTGGGCCCTCAGTGGGATGGCTCAGAGCTCCTGTCCCTCTGCCTCCAAACCCTTCAGGCACAACCAGGGCCAGATGGCCTGGGACAGCCTCAGCAGCCGACAGCTGTCCTCCAGCCCCTGGGAAG